GAGTCAACGTTCACAGCAAATTGTAAAATACGGCTTTCACTCAAATAGCGAAAACAACAGCGAAAGGAGATCATTAAAATTCTATCAAAATCAGATCCAAAGTCAATACTGCTTATTCAATAATACAAAACGCTTCTTCATCAGCATTTAGCTCCTGCGTCGCTGCTTTATTAAGACCCATGATGATCATATTCACCTAAAGTCTCGCTTGTTCTGACCCAATCTGCAAACTGTTTGTAGCTTTTCTTCTTTATTCCAGCTGCGATTATTCTACAACTTCTGCATTGGTCATCCATTCTTCTCAACAGTTATGTCAATTCTATTTGAATGCTTGTTTACGCTCGTACAGCGGTTGAAGAAGTGTGTAGCGCTCTAGAATAACCGCGCGTTTGGATGAATTTCTGATTTCTTCTTCAAATCTATTACTGGCCGCGGGGTATCTAATATAATCAACTTGTAGGATAATCTCCTACGAATTAGAACTCCACATTCTATTTTCATTTTTCTGGCCAGACTTTTGTAAGCGAAACAATCATCTTTGAGGAAACAATCCTGATCGCCTTATCAAGTAACCGTGAAAGGCAACCCTTCAGGTTCGATTTGCTTTAAGCACGGTTTCTTAGATAGGTGATCAACTTCGATCTTTTGCCAAAAACCATTACTTATTATAAAGCGCTAAGTTTGTCTGATGTGTGTGTGTGTTTCTTGTCTGACACAAAATTGGTTCATTTGTCCTAAGAAAGTCAGAGAGCAATCATCAAGCGTTATCATGTTAACTGCAGCACACTAAGTAAACATGAGCAATTTTGTTGTGAAAACGTGGTAAGATGGTGGTACAATTGTTTTGCTATGAACGGGCTTTGCGATCGGGATGAAAGGTGTCCGCGTCTTTCTCCTTCAATAACACGTTGGAAAGTAAGACCAAACTTTCGAAACTTTCAGAAGAGATGCGCATATGATGGCTTATTGGATTGAGTTGAATACTTTCTCAAAGTGTTGAACTAACTCTCCAAAGCGCCAGGCGAGCCTCTGCCAAGGAGAGGTGAAGCACTGGAATTATTAGGTCGTAAAGAAAGTTCTTGCGGTTTTTAACCATTACTTACTTACTTACTTAGATACTTAGATGGCCTGTCTTCACTCGTCGTGCAGGCCACAGCATTGTTT